CGCTGCCCCTACTCCTCGCTTGGGTCAGATGTGACTGGAAGTGAGGACAGCTCTCGGGGGAGGGAAGCGGGGGGGAGGGAAGGACCACAGAGACTTCAGATGGGGAAAGCCACCGCAACAGTTTGGGATGCTTCAAATCCCGGCCCTGACAGACCGTCCGTACCCTTGAGTCCCGGTGCCTTGAAATCCCAGGCCCGTGCAGTGTTTCGGAATGGAGGTCCAGACCCTGTGGAAACTTGACTCCTAGAATCCTGAGTGTGAAGGAGCCTTCCAGGTCGTGGCATAAACAGGCTGCTATCCCTGCGGCTCTCAGACAGCCTCCCACTCCACAGCCCCCTCGAGGGCCGCATGCTTTTATGGATGCAAAGACAGTGGAGACATAAACACTTGGATTTTAACTACATTGTGCCCCTGCCCAGGAGCACGGGAGCCTGGGCCTCTCGCAAGCCCCTGTCCTCACCTGCCAGCCTGAATTGGGGTGTCTGGGATGGTTGTGGTGGTCTGCCACCTCCTCCTCCTGCTCCCCGACCCCTGCCCTTGCCCGGCGGCCCCCTGCTGGAGCCCAGCAGGTAAGGCACTGGGGACCAAGGGGCCAAGAGGGAGAATGTCTTCAGCAGCCATGAGCCCGGGGAGCCAAGCGGATATTGATTCCGTCTATGGGAGCAAAGGGACCCGTTAAAACGCGGCTGTTAAATTGCTCTGCCTGAAGCCAGCCAGCTCTGCGGGCGGGCGGGCGGCCTGGCGGGCAGGCGGCGGACAGAGCAGCGAAGGCTAGTGCTCTGGTGTGGTGGCCTTAGACACCCCTGGGGCCTGCAGCAGCCTGGCTGGGGCCTCTGCTGCCCTGTGCCCACAGGGAGGCCCCTGCGCTCCGGCCACGCCCAGTCCTTGCCATCCCCCCGGGGCATACGCTGCTGTGCTCGTTCCAGAAGTCGTCGCTGTCGCGCCGCCATCTCTCGGAATCCTGAGCAGCTTTCTGTACCCAGCGCAAATGGCTCCTCTTCCCCGAAATCTTCCTGAGTTTCCACTCCCTACTCCCAACGTTTTGAGAGAAATGGGCTTTCCCCCCCAAATCCCCGAGGCCCCCGGGCTCTGCCTGCCTCTGCCTCCTGTCCCTCTGCTATAATAACTAAAGAGCTGGGGGCCCCTGACAGGGGACACCTGGGCTTCACGCGCCCCACCCCCTGCCAACGTGTGTGGGGCCTGGGCCAGGCACCAGGCCACGTGAGCAGCTGGCCTGGGGAGGGCAGGGCAGGCAGGTGTTGGCCTGATGGGCACCCCCACCCCTACTTCCCCGTCCCTGCGGCAGATGTCAGGAACGGCTCAGTGCTGAACTGTCCTCTCTCCACCACTCCGATGACTCACAGTCAACCTCTGCTCAGCCAAAAGCCACCTTCGTCCCTGGAATGCCCCTCAAGGAGGCTGAGAGCAGGCCCAGCAGCTGGAGCCAGGCAGTCTGGGGTTTGAATCCCGGCTCTACCACTAATGACTCTGTAATGACTCTGACCTCGGCCCACTTGCTTCCCTCTCTGAGCCTGTTTCCTCATCAATAAAACAGAGATACTGGGCCCTGTCCCTTAGAAAGGATGCGAGAATTGAATGAGACAGCTGCTGCAGAGGCCCAGAGAGGGCCACTGGCTGCCTGGAGTCACACAGCGAGAGGCCAGGAGAGATGCTCCCCTTGCCCCATCCCGCCTGTCTCGGGGTCCCGAGTTGGGCCTGGTCTGTGGAGCCTGGCAGCGGTTCCCCTGCGGCCTCAGGGACAGCAGACCATTGCTTGGGGCCGGCTTGGGCCCCTCGGTTGTTCCTTTGGTCTGACCAGCCTCCCCACGGGCCTTATCTGTCCGTCCCCTCCTTTCCCACCAGACTAATCTCTCCCTCTTTTCAGGAGTTCCTGTTTCCTCTCTGCCGCCTTCTTGTCTCTCCCCAGCCGGCTCTCCCGGTCTCCAGCCAGCCTCCCACACTGGCCGGAGCCGCCTCGGAGCGGCTGGTGCTGTCATCGCGGGGAGTTTCCGTCTTTCTGGAGCTCCCGAGCCTCTCAGGGCCCTGTCTGGGACTGCAGCCCCGCATGCCTGGGTGGGCATCCTGCTGGTGACGAGAATTCAGACACCCACAGGACAGTACTGGCCTTTACTTCTTCGAGGTGGCCACTGCAATGGTTTTGGGGTTTTCACTCTACAGTTCCCGGGGACCAAGATCTTAGGGTTCCAGTTCCTACTACTAAAGCTCCGAGGCTCTGGGAGCCTCTGGGACCCTGTGATCCATCCTGGGGGAGACCCCACCCCCCCGACCGAGTGGGGCTCGGTCCGGCTGCGTGCTGAGAACCTGACCTGCGGGCGAGGACCAGCACAGGACCAGCTCCCCGCGCCCGCTTGGCTGTCCAGCCCCTGGACACACAGAAAGGTGCAGGCCTTCCGCACGGGTCCCTGGACTGGCCAGTGGCAGGTACAAGGCCCACTGAGTCAGGGGCACAGCGGGTCTCCCATCCTGAACCCCGCCTGGCCCAGGGCCCCCACTTAGCCCAGCAAATGGTCTTCCGCCTTCCACGCCGCCCTCCCGGAGCCTGGCTGGAATGAGGATGTGGGAGAGGGGACACGCCTGGGCCCCGAGCCCCACCCCGCTGTGGACCTTCCCTGGGATCCGGGACCAGCCCCTCTCCTCTCAGAGCCTCCGTTCCGCCTCCGCCTCCATCAGAGGTGACAACAATGCTCACCTCGGGGGGCTGCTGTCAAGATTATTTGGGACAATGCGTTTAGAATGGTACACAGCAGGTTCATAATAAATGGTAGCATTTATATTATTATGACCACCCTTTCTGACAGTCATTCTGGGTCCTTCATCCTGTTTCCCCATTTGCTTGTCCTGATTAAGGCCTAAAGGACACCCTCTAAATTCAACATTTCTGAGGTATGTTTTCTACTCAGCTCTGTGGTGCTGCCCCCAGGTCCGGGGCCCCATGGGTGGGTTGGGCTGATCCCAACCCATGAGGAGGCCCCAGACAGGTGGGGGAGACAGATACAACACACACCTCTACAGCACCTTGGTTCAGTGCAACACTGGAAGGGTGCACAGAGGCTGTGGGGACCCAGAGGAGAGCTGAGGGTGATTGTGGAGGGCTTCCTGGAGGAGGGGGCCATTCACCTGGGCCTTGAAGGAGGAGAGGCCATTGGCTTGAGGATGAGCACAGTGGCTGCTTTAAAGGTTCAAAGGGCTATGGGCAGCTGAGAAGGGCTGGGGAAGGCTTTGTGGAGAGGGCTGGGGGTGGGCTTCCTGCAGGGAAAATAGCATCCCAGGCTGGAGAGAACAGCAGATGCCCAGAGGCAGGTGGGCTGAGCACAGAGTTTCAGTGTGGGTGGGCGAACACCTGGGGAGGTGCAGAAAACATGCACCAGGAAGAATCGCCTGGGGCCTGGAGCCCAGGCCTTGTGTGCCAGGCCAGGGACCCAGGGACTGGCTTTGTGGGCCGTGGGAGCTGGAGCAGGGAAGCCCTGGACCCCAGAGACGGCACACTCTGCGGGGCGCCCAGGGAGGCTCCACCCCGCCACGGCCCCCAGCCTTATCAGCTCTGCGACACAGGAAAGGGCCCTCCCGCCTCTGAATTTCCTCGCTGCAAAACAGACCAGAGACTTATCTGCAGCCCCTGGCAGCCCTGATTCTGTGCCGCTGGCCATGCCCACTGCGAGCTCCCCAGCAGGGGTCGACCACGAAAGCCCTCCTTCTTCCCACCACCCTGCAACTGGCCAGGCCCTGAGGGTCGTCCCTGCCATCCCACCCCCGGTATGCCTGGGCTCCTGGCCCACTCTGCCCGGCCCCTCCGGGTGGCCCTGCCCGCAGCGTCTGTGTCTCTTCCCATGTGTATAACATTCTCTTAGAGCCTGTCTTGTGAGACACAGGTGAGGAGTCACTGCTTCCATTTTGGGACACCTACTGTGGGCCAGGCGGAGGAGACTCCACTTGCTCACCCCTTGGTTACCGATGCCACCCATATGCAGGGAATGACACCAAAACTCAGGACAGTGACCTGCCTGCAGTGACCCTGCTTCTCTTGGACCCTGTCTCTACTTGGCAATCGCCGGACCCCATCTGGGCCCCTGCACAGCCCCTGCGCAGCCCCTGCTGTTATTTCTGTCTCCTTTGCCTCTTGTCCTCCTCACCTCCCCAACCTCCCAGGCGCGAGTGCCCCAGGCCCAGCCTCAGTCCTGTCGCCTCTATCCCGCCCACTCCCTTAGCGACGGCAACCAGACGTGCACCCCCAGCCCTGGCTTGCCCCCCAACCCCACCCCGGCGTGCCAGCCTCCACATCTGCCCGTCTGCTCAGCATTTCCACTTGGAGCCTAAACAATGTCACAGTCCCCGAGAGTCCACATCTGAACCCCAGTCCTCTCTCCACCCCATCTCGGCATTCGGCCCCTCCGTCCTTCCAAGTGCTCGGGCCAAGCCCGGCATTCATTCCTGGGCCTCCTTCCCCTCACGCCGGCATGCGGAGAGAGGACAAATCCTGCTGGCTCCACCTTCAAAACAGGACTGCAATCCAGCCGCTTCTCACCACATCCGCTGCCGCCAGCCCGGTCCAGGCACGAGGCTGGGGCCCCTCCCAACCTCCTACCTTCATCAGTACCACCCCTGTTCTACAAATGGGGAAACTGAGGCTGGGGGCCCTCCCCAGGGCCACACAGAAAACCCACCGGGGCTAGCTGGAGCCAGGGCCCGCCACCTCCCTGAGGCCTGCACCCCGGCTCCTGGCAGGCCTGACGACAGGGCCATGCTGTGCAGCGCCTGCATGTGTGTCCCTGAGGAACGACGGGCTGCCAGCTGGGTTTATGTTTCAAGACGTCTGTCCTCGCCCTTGACCAAGAGATCTTACAGGGAGACCCGGGCCAGGGCCGGGCGGGGGCATGGCGGGGGGGAGCAGGGACATCAATCGGAGGCCGCCCTGCCTGGAAACCGGAGAGCTCGGCGCCAGCGCCCGGGAGCCGCTGAGTTCACTCCAGGAGGCCACAAACTGCGGGGGCGGCTGCGCTTCGCTCGGCATTTATTTCATACGGCTGTTTAAAAAGCTTGTTTTAAAATATAGATCATTATATATATATTTATATATATAAAATATATAAAGAGGAATTGAGGAGAGCCGCCCCAAAGACAAAGCTATGTTTTATAAATATTTCTGTAGCTCCCACACCCCAAAGGAAGAGAAAAAACAAAAAACAAAAACACATTTACAACCCAAGCTAGTGGTTCCATGTGGCGGGCCCAGCAGGTTCAGACCCTGGGGTGGGCTGGGGGTCCCGCAGAACGTCCTGATGGGGGCGGGCATACCCCTTCCCCGAGGCTGGGCTCTCTGGCCCTGAAAGGTCAAGCCCACAGCAGTCTCACCAAGCCCAGGCCCCTGGATTCTCAGACCAGCCTGCGGGCACTCCAGGGCCTCGGGCTGCCAGGTTATTTTTAATCTCGTCGGTTTCCTCTGATGTCCCGGCCCTCCTTCCAGGGTGGCCAGGCCTTCTGTTCCTGGTGGCTTCCAAGTGCAGGCAAAGCACGGGCCACCTCCCACGCCAGGCATCTGGAATTCACAAGCAAAACTCCACGCGAGTCTCCAGGCCCCCGGCCCTGGCTGCTGAGGGTCCTCGGGCAGAGCCTGCGCCCCGCGTGGGGCGGAGGGCGGGGCCTCACTTGCACACGTAGCGCTCCACGGTGCGCTCACACCTGCGGCAGGTGACGTAGCAGCACCAGTGGTACTTGCAGTGGCACCGCTCGACCACACGGTCTGTGTAGGGGTTGTAGCCGCGCCCACAGCACATGAGGTCACAGCTGTCGCTGCCGTTGGATGTCTTGTTGCACTGCCTGGGGGAGGGGGAGGAGGTCAGTGAGTGTTCCTGTCACCCCCCAACAGACCCTGCGACTCCCGGCCTCCCCCCATAGCCGCTGACTCAGCTCCTCTTGGCAGGTGTCTTAATCTTTGGGGAATTTTAACTAATTCTCTTACCTAAGGGTACACTCAGCCTTTTCCCCTATTTCTAATAAGCAACTATCAAAACGATGGGGTTGCTTTGTTTTCTTGGAGGTATCGTTTTTCTGTTTCTTCTACTTCTAAATGCTCAAAGGACCATCAAAAACCAATCTGTCTAATAATCCTACCTTCATATTTAATCTTTACTTATATTGTGACAGATGTGAAGATCATTTTCACTTTTAGAATCCCGGGTTAAATTCTGAAACACTAAAAACGGCCTTGGCTGTGAGGCCACGTGAGCATGTGCACACTGTCCGTGGCGGGTGAGGGGCTGGTGGCCACGGGCACCCCACAGGGCAGGCATGTCCTTCCAGCATTTTATCCTACTGGGAGCAGGCAGGGTCCTTGGGGAGGGGCTGAAATTATTATGCCCATTACACCAATGAACACAGGCTAACCCAAGGGCAGAGGCTTAGACTCAGGGCTGCTGAAGCCAAGGCCATTGCTATTCTCCCTACCCTGAAGCCGTGGGACCCAGGGCTGGCAGGGACAGGGGACGGGGTGGGGGAGGGAAGGAGGGGAGCTCCAGGAGAGAGTCAGCAACCTGCTGCAAGCAGCTCCTGTGGGAGGCAGGAGAACAGTGGGAAGAATACATGCCCCAGGGCCAGGCAGACCTGGGTTCAAGCCCCAGCTTCTCCACTTATTGGCTGTGTGACTGAAGAAAAGTCACTTAACCTTTCTGGGCTTTGTTTAGCCATTCAACACCCATGTCCCCCTTTGCTATACCCTAAAGGTCTGCAGTTAGCCACTCGGCCCTCAGTCGTAGGAAGGGGACAGAGTTCCTTTTTTATTTCTAGATCCCTGACACGCAGTGTCTGAAAACCTGGCTTCCAACATCAGAGCCGGACCAGGCCTGAGATGGTGCCCGGGACGGGGAGTCAGAGAGGGCGGGGCCACGGGCCCAGGGAAGGGCCTCTGGGATGCGTGGCCCCACGGCACAGGGTGGCACAGGTCATGGGGCGTGAGTTTCAGGGGTGCAGGCTTCTGGAAGAAACATGACAAAGGGCTGAGGTTTGGAATATCGGCTGCTGGTGGGGCCTCAGTTCCCAGGTTAGATTTGAGGAGGGCTGCAAGGCGTCTGCCCCAGCTGGGGTGCCAGCGTCTGCAGAGACACCACGTGTGCACGACAGTTAACAAAGCTCATTTATATCCAGCCCTCTGCACTCTGTATCCTCTAACCCAACACATCACACATCCCCCCTCCTCCAGGAAGCCTTCTTTGCTGTCCAGGCTGGGTCAGAGCCCCTCTGGGCTCCTCTTGCACTGGGATTCCCTCCGTCACAACTTGAGCATTTGAGGTCCCCCCACCCACCAGCACCTGCTAGAGCCAGGCAGAGCTACAACTGACCCGCAGCCTCATGTAATGGGTGTAAGAAGTGTTTGTGGCTGTAAACTACTGAGACATTGGGGGTGTTTGTTACTGCAGCAAAAGCTGACTGATACATACACGTGCAAGAGCCCACCCCAGGGGAACAGCATGCTAAGGATGCCAGGAGGGTGGGTGGTGCTGGGGGTGGGGGCTCCTATCCAGTAGTGTGGGGGCAGCTGAGAGAGAGGCCTGGCAGCCTGAGGACAGAGGGAGGGAGGGGAGAAGCTGGCCTGGCACAGAGGGATGCTGGGTAAGCATAATTTGAGATCATTGGCCAACCCCACGAGCTGCCCGGTGTCCTCTCCATTGCATGGAAGGTGAGACTGAACCTCAGATCAGTGAGGGACACGCTCAGGTTCACCCAGCCCGGGGGCTGTGCCCTTGTCTGACACACACACACAGCCACTCACGGGTCGGGGAGACCCTCTCTTTGCCCTGGGGTCCTCCGTGGGCTTCCACCAGCCCTCTGTGTTCTAGAATCCTCCTCTCCCTCCCCCATCCCCATCTGCCTCGGCCCAGCCTCTCGCTCCTTCCTGTCTCCCTGGCCTGACCCGGTTCCATCTTCATTCCGCCGAGCCCCTCAATCTGGCCTCCAGATGGGAGCCTGGGCCTCCCTGCAGAGGCTGCCGCCCCGGCCTGTGGGGACGGAGCCCCCAAACCACCCCTCCCTCTGCTGGAGACTGGAACGTGGGCTGCGGAGGAAGTAAATGCTGGCCGGGCACCAACTATGTGCCAGACACGTTCCCAGACACCCGCTCTCTGGTTCAATATTCTTTTAACCCCGAGAACACTAGTTTTGTGGAATGCTATTAGGGGCTCCCTAATAAAAGAGTTCCACGGCCAAACACCTCTGGGAAACACTGGCTTAAACAGATCCTTTACCGCGGGATTCCTCGGAGCCTTTAATATGTTCTTGTGCCTCGTGAATTACCAAAGAGAATTTCCCAACATATTTGATTGCAGAACTTTCTATTATAGTACGTCAGGGCCAGCCTTCTCCAGAACGGTCTTTGGGAAGTGCTGCTCCCCTGAGCCCCCACCAGCCCCACCTGGCTCACAGGTCTGCAGCGTCTGCGGCTCCCCTTCTCCTGTCCTAAGCCAGCTGTAGGGACCCCCGCCCTGGCTCTGAACCTGGGACCAGGGGGTCCCCAGGAGGAGGACTGGAGTGGGTCGGGGGACACAGGAGCGTACTTGCTCTACTGAATGCGGGCAGATCTCACCCTCCTTCGGCTCTGTGTGGACCCTGTGTGGCCCCCGTGTGGTTGTGGACTGGCTGCTGCCCCCACTTTCCCCGTGCTTCTCAGGTCCACTTTCTCTCTTTCTTTCTTTTATTTTTTGAGACAGTCTCGCTCTGTTGCCATGGCTACACAGTACAGTGGTGTCATCATAGCTCACTGCAACCTCCAACTCCTGGGCTCAAGCCATCCTCCCACCTCGGCCTCCCAGAGTGCTAGGATTGCAGGCATGCGCCACCGTGCTCTCAGTAAGGTGGTTGTCTCTTCTCATCTGTCTCTCCCACTAGGGGCAGGGTGGGGCAGGGGCTACCGCCAGCCCCCATTCCTCAGGGGCCCCCGCCAGGGCGAGGTGCAGAACAGGTATTCCCAGAGGCCCTTGCACCCTGGCACCTACACTCACCATTCCTGGGGCCACCTCTCTTTACGGGGCAGGGACTCTATTCCCCTAATGCCAACTGGGTCCCAGCTGTGTGCCTGGCCCTGAGCTGGGGAGCAGCCTGTGCAACACGGCTGGCCCTCTCCTGCTGGGATGGCAGCAGGCCCTTACCTGTCTTGTGTCCCGTGGGAGCCCACCTTCTCGTTCTTCATGCAGAAGTCAGGCGAACTCTGCAGGTAGACAAGTTCCGAGTCCTTTACAGGCCGGATATCCAGATCCTTGGGCACCAGGTGCTTGCGGGTGCCCATGGGTCGGTGCACTACCTTGGTGGCCGATAGGTAGCGGGTCTTGAGGTCAGCAGCTACGTCCCGCAGCTCCTGCAGCCCCTTCCAGCAGGTGCGGATGGAGCAGGAGCCAGACACCCCATGGCACTTGCACTTCATTTCCAGAGAGGCGCGCAGAGCCTGCGGACAGGGGAGGGCGTCGGGCTGGGCGGCTGGAGCCCCCTCCCTGGCCTGCCCAGGCACCCTGGCCCCACCCGCTGCGTGGCTGGGTGCTATTGGGGAGTCATCACCCACTTAAGCCTCAAGTGATAAAGCTTTTTGCTCTAAAGCTTGGAGGTGTTGTGGGCCTTCCTCTAACTTAGGGGGCAGCTGAGGGGCAGGAAGAGAGACATTTCCAAGGATAAGAGATTCCATTATTGAGCACCTACTATATATCAAGTGCTCTAACACATAATGTGGGTTAATCATCACAACAGCCCTTCAAGGAAGGTATCCTTATCTTCCCCATTTTACAAAGAGGAAACAAAGGCTCAGGGAGGCTAAGTCTCAGGCCCAAGATTTCACAGCTAGGAAATCATGAAGCTGGATTTGAGCCCAGGTCTGGGGCGGGGGAGATTCCAAAATTGGTGGCTTTTAGCTGTTCCCTGGTTTTCTTTCACACAACTCTGAGGCTCACTAATGCTGAGTGAAGCCTCTGGAGGGCCCAGAGTGAAGTAAACAGGACCACAGGGCATCGAAGCACGTGGAGTCCTCAGGGAAAGGACAACTAGGTCCCTCAGCATAGGTGACGAAAGGGACCCAGGGCTTCCCAAGGCCCACTGGGTACGAAACATGTGGTGGCAACCTCATTTAACCCTCACACAGCCCTGCAGCTTGGGGGATACTGCGCCCCTTTTGCACATGGCCCCCGGGACCCGTCTGATGTACCCTGAGGCTGAGGCCCCGCTTTGGACAGCACTCGGGGATGGGTGGGCTGTGCCCTGGCAGCGGGAGGCCCCGGCTGGCCCAGCCCTGGCTGGGGGCACAGGGGCGGGGTTCCCGTGAACAGGGGCAGGTGGCAGGCTGGGAGGCAGAAGTCTTGAGTCCCTGGCCAGGCTCTGCTACAAACCCACAGTGTGACTCGGCCTCAGTTTCCCTAACTGTCCAAGGATGGCCTGGACATGCTAGAATCCTCACTCGAGGGAGACCAGTGAGTGAAGGTGAGGACTCGGAAGCCTCTGGACTTGGACTCCTACAGACCTGGGCTCCGTCGTGCCCTGTGGCGGAGCCACTTCAGTTCTTCCAGCCTCCTGTGGTGCCTCTGTAAGACGTGGCTAACAGGTGTGGGCAAGGGTTGGTGAGACGCCGTCTGTATACACAGCTCTGGCCGAGCAGCCAGCCTGCCCCTCACAGGCCCTTCCCCCATCCGTGAACACGGGACAATAGCACCTGCCCCAGAGCTGCTCCGTGGACCACAGGAGAGAAAATGGGTCGAGGACCAAGCACAGTGCAACATGGACTGGTATAAAGTATTGTGGTTTTTATAATTTTTGAAGAAAAAAATGTCTGTTCGTTCACTTATGCATTCACTCACCCAGGCTTTTGTGCAATGGGTTGAGGAATTAATGAGAAACTAATGATAATAAATGTTAGAGGGAAACTGCATTCTAGAGGTTGGGGCGGCTTTGGGTGGGAGTCCCCGTTAATCCAAGGGGATGGATCCTTAGTATGAGGCTCTGTTGCCCACAGCCCTCTCCTCACCCCGGGGCAGAGCCTGTGGGACATGGCAGACAGGGACATAGCACCAGATCACCCCCCATTTCATAGATGGGAACAACCGAGGCCAGAGAGGAAGTGACTTGCCCAGCGTCACTAGGCCAGAGCCAAGGCCAGCACTCAGAGCTCCTGACTCCTAGTTCAGGCTCCTTGCATTTGGACAACCCAAATCCCAGTGGACCCCCTGGAGGAGGAGGAGCCCGGAGAGCCCCAAGCGGCTGGAGAGGGAAGAGCTGGGGAAGGTGGAAGCCATCAGGCGTGGACCGATCAGGGCCCATCCCCCACACCCCCCTCCACCGGGGCACACTGGTGGCCCTTTTCCGGCCAATGGCATAAGCATAACTATCTGGGGGTGGGTGGGGTGGGTGGTTACCTGTCTCCCCACTTCACTGTTGTGTAGACGCATCAGTTTATTGGCTTGGGATCCTGTTTTTTTCACCTTCATAGGAGCATCGGAAAACTTGGCCCCCATGAGGAGCCCGTAGCTGAGGTTGTCCGCACATCCTCCCCAGCGGTTCCCGGGCCCGGGTGGCTCACCTGGGACGGGGCCGCAGGAGCAGCCGGGCAGGTCGCCGGAGGTGCAAGCCCGGGCGATGGCGTGGCTGATGGCGGCTGCCGACAGCGCATACACGAAGGCCGACTCCCGGGTCCCTGGGGGCGGGAGGGGTGGGTCAGCCAGGCAGGGATCCAGGGACGGGACCCTGCCAGGTCTGAGGCCCTCCTCCTTCACCCCCACCCTCTGCAACCAGGGTGGTGCCGGCAGAGGACAGCACTGGGGCCATCAGGCTGTCACCCCTTCTCCCTCCCTCAATCCCCCCCAAATACACCAGCTGCGTGCCACACTCACTCGAGACCCACAGGCATGCCCTCTCCCACGAGGCTTTGACCCGCTCGCCCTGCTCTTGGGGTTGGGGCTGCTCTACAGGCATGAAGGCCCAGGCCCTGAGCTCCTGATGGGCCAGACGAGCGTCCAAGGAGCCTGCCGTGTCCCCCAAAAAGATATGCTCAAGTCTGCCCCTGTCCCTGGGAGCATGGCCTTATTTAGAAATAGGGTCTTTGCAGATGTTATGAAGCTGAGAAGAGGTCACGCTGGGTCAGGGTGGGCCCTAAGCCAGTGGCTGGTGTCCTTGTAAGAGGGAATTCCAGATACACAGACACACAGAGGGGGACAACACCGGGTGACCATGAAGGCAGAGACTGAGTAACGCAGCGGCAAGCCAAGGAGCACCAAGGATTGCTGCAGCCACCAGGAGCTGGGAACAGGCGAGGAAGGCTCCTTCCCTGGTACCAGAGCCTGGCCCTGCCCGCACCTTGATTTTGGACTTTCAGCCTCCGGAACTGGAGACAATACATTTCTCTGGTTTGAAGCCGGCTGGTTTGTGGTGCACGGCGACAACAGCCCTAGGAAACTAATATGGAGCCCACGTGCCCCGGCTCAGAGGGTGGGTTGGGGGGCCCTGGCCTCAGGTTTGAGCCCTGGCTCCATCTCTCAACCAGCAAGTCACTTCCCTGTCTCCAGCCTCAGTTTCCTTAAATGTAGAGCATGGGTGACAATACCTACCTCACAGGCTGGCTGTGGAGTTCAAGTAATTCAGGAAGGAAGGAAGGGGTGCAAGTGCCGCACAAACATTAGCTGTTACGTTTAGGACCCATGAGAGAACTTACCACCATGCAGTGAGAGATGAGGCCCATTAGGGTGTTTCTGCCGGGCGAAATCATCTCTGTTGCACACAGGTCCCCTAAACCCACCCCACAAGCCACCTCCTGCAGGAAGTCCACAGGAGCCATTTTGCTATCTCTACCCCGCTTTGCGCGGCGTGCAGCAATTTCAGCAGCCTGGGCTGGTATAACCTGTGGCACACCTGCCTGCCCCTGAGGGTGGGCTCTGGCGTTGTCCTTCATCTACTCCCCTCCCAAGCGCCTCCCTGACACGTGGCCTCACGTACAGCAGGGCCTGGTCGTTCCTTCGCGCAGGCATTAGGGAGCACCTGTGTTTGCAATGTCATTCAGACTCCCCGGTGCTGACACATTCACTCGCCTGCATGTTTCCTCACTCGCTCATTCGTGCCTGAGTACCCATACCTATGATGAATTCACCCACCATGCACCCGTCCGTCCCTTCCTCTGCCCATCTGTGTATCCATCCATCATGCGTCTGTTCACTCGTCCACCCGTGAATCCACAGTCCACCCGTCCATGAACTCACTCACCTATCTAAACACATGCAGATGCACGTGTGAGCCCCTGGCAGCCCCGCCAGCTCCCTACCTCTCTCCAGGTCAAGCAGGTAGTTGGGGGCGAGCTCGATGGAGGAGCAGTTCCAGCGCATGTCGGCGAAGGCCCTGCGGCAGGCCTTGGTCACCTCGCGGGCGGCGTGCACGATGGTGTGCATGAGCTCCAGGTTGCTGCGGCACAGCTGCACCTGCGCGGACACCAGGCCCTCCAGCTGCTTGCAGTGCTGCGTCTGGTTCAGCGCCAGGGCCGCCGGCGTCTTGGACAGAGCCCTGCACGCCGCCCGACCGCAGCCAGGGGTGGAAGGAAAGACGGGGCTGTGAGGGGCCGCGCCGCCTCCACCTCGCTACCGGCCACTCACTGGAAGAAGCCAGGAAACCGGGGACCCAAGTGCCCCATGGCAGAGCAGCATATCTCCCTCCCGTTCCTGCGTGACCTTGGGCACATCACTGTCCCTCTCTGGGCCTCAGGCCCCATTTGTAACGTAGGATCACACTCCCCATCTTACCTAAACCTTATTATGATTAAACTAACAAAAACCAGTTTTCCAGCTCACAAAGCACACGCATCCACCCACGGCCCGGCTTAGTTCTCACACAGCTGTGAATTATTAGTTTTTACTCAACATTCATTCAACACCGCGCACGATGTGCCAGGAACCATGCTAGCTGCTGGATTACTGTAATCACAATAATTATGCACACTATTAATTGTGCCCTTACCATACACACAACGTGAGTTAGGAGTTTTCCATCATTGTTTCACCTAATTACTAAACCCATTTATTATGTTGTAAGGTCCCATATCCATGCGAGGGATTGTTATTAAAGAGCCACTCAGTTTTGTGATGACCTGGAACTTGGAAAATTTAGTATCTAATCCAGATTTGGCCATTAACTTGCTGCGTCACCATAGATAAATCACTGCCCCTCTCTGGGTCTCAGTGTGTATATCTGTAAACTGTATTTTCCAGAATGGGTTCCAGTGAGACACTCTGACAAAAGGGACCCATTTGGGGAACACGATGTACTATGTCCCCCCTTGGAGAGTCTTCATGCACACTAACATTTTAAAGGTCCCGAGAAGTCCTGCAGCAAAGTAACAGGCTTGGTTTTAACTCAGAGAGTCTGTTGAGCACACTGAGCACAAAGCCTTTTGCTTGAGGAATGTCGGTCAAGGGGGGCTCTATGACCCTTGGTGATGTTATAGCACCTCAGAGCCCCGTAGATCCTGGCTCTGGGTACTGGGGTTCTAAGCCTCTAAGGCTGGGTCCATCCTGGAACGGCTGCTCTCCCAGGCCTTCTCTGAGGAGCAGGCTGTACCAGGCAGCACTTCCCCCAAGTGTGGGATAGAGGGACTCCCCAGCCCTAAAGGACTCCACAGCAACCTGCCCCCAGCAGGGGGGCGGGTCTGGAACCAGAGGCAGCTGGCCCTCAGCAACCCAGCAGCAACCCAGCGGCCAATCTGCAGCCGCAAGAGCTGAGTGCCTTGCCTGCTGCGACCCCAGTGGTCATCACCCGGGGCTGACACCTGGTGAGGCTGAGTGCTGAGGGAGGCAGCCAGGTGCTAAGGGAGCAGCACAGGCCTGGGTAGACTCCGAGCTCCATCGTTCCCCTTGCCACCTAGCGCAGGTCACTTAACCCCCGCCCCCCCAGCATTATCTGAGGGATTCAATCAGACAGTGCGTGTACGAACACGCGCGTCACATGTTCTGCCCAGGGCTGAGTGCTGCGGTCAGGGCTCAATGATGGGAGCTACTACAATTACTGCCTTGGTGGTCTCTTCCCACCTGCGGGCAGCCCCCCTACCCCACCCAGTCAAGGCCAAGGGCTGCCACCTGACATTCAGGGCCCCTCGAAGCCTGGCCCCCCAGCTTTCCCAGCCTCCTGTCCTCAACCTAGTATCTGCCCACACCAGTCTCCTGACTTCTCCAACAGGAACTGTCTTACCACCATGCTTTTGCCCAGGCTTTTCCTGAGGCCAGGAGTGCCTTTCCCTCTGCTCCTGTACCTGAATGAATAAATGAACTCGATCTACTCATGGAAGAAATATTTACTAAGCACCAACTCTTCTCGAACTCATTTGGTAATAAACGTGACACAGATCCTTTCCTCAAGGTGTCCCTAGTCTAATGCCTAGATAAAACTGTTAACAGCTGTAAGTCAATGACCCAGCTGTTCTGCCTCCTGGGCTTGTCCAGGGAAGAGCACAAGCTTTGAGTACCAGCTGTGTGACCTAGGTAAGTTACCCAATCTCTCTGGGCCTCATGGTCCTCATCCACTATAAAGAAATGACGAGTACTCCTTCAAAAGGCGATGGTAAGACTTACATAACAAAATTTATACAAAGCGTTTGGAGCTTTCACAGATGAAGTCCCCCTACTCGTGGCCAGGTGAATCTTGGACCAGAGGGAGTAAGAAGCCATGGACTCCAACTCCAGCTCTGCCCTCTATGTGCTATGCAAACTTGGGCAAATCGCTGCCCCTCTGTGGGCATCACCTACGAAATGGGGACCCTGGGGTCTTGCAAGGGCAGAGTACTATGTGCCTCATTGAGTCCTCTGTAGGTTGGCTTACCTCCTCCTGCCTCTCATTCTCTGCCACGCCCCACCCACCCTATAACCCGAAAGACAGAAGCCTTCCCAGAGACGCAGAGGAGGCCGGGGCCAGTGCGCATGGCCTGGGGTCTGCAGTTAGGGCAGCACAGCCCACCCCGTCTGAGATCACTGTGAGCATCTCGGGCAGTCTCCCCTCACTGCGACCCCTGGCCCAGCCCCACCCCCCTAAGTATGAGCAGGGAAAGTTTGGCGTGCCTGGACGCCAGGACCTGGCCCAGGGCACACCACACAGCAGACCTCAGACGTGGTCCCTGACCCCAGTGGAACTGGTCTGGGCCTCCCTGGCCTTCCCTCTTGGGAAGCTGCAGCCCTTCCTGGGTGGGTTTTGACCACACAAAGGCAAATGTCATCACCTCGGCATGTTTCTTGGCTGTTAACAGCCTCCACCCCCACCCAGCAAACACTGCTCACCCGTGTGCGAGGTAGCAGCCCCCATACGGACACTTCCCGGTTTACAGAGCCGCTCGTTTCACACACACTGCTGGGGGCGCCCGGACGGACGAGATCATTATCCCCACTTCGGACCAGTGAGGATGCGGAGGCAGGGCCAGGGGCTGTGCTGGCCGCATCCCCGCCCCCCTGCAGATCAAGTCCTCCTCCCTGCTGGGCTGTCAGCCCTTGCATGCGGTGTGGCCTCCCAAACTGGGTCCCCTCTCTGCTCTGTTCTGGGCAGTCCACGCAGCCTGTCCTGAGCCCTCTCTGCTCTTCACCCTCCCAACTTCCTTCCCTTCCCCTCTGAGCATCTGAAAGTGGAAAGGATTACGTGAACGACAGCAAATCAAACAGCAGGCCAGCGAGGGCGCAGTGGTGTCCCAGCCGCGTGGGCTGCCTCCCTGTCTCCCTCCGGCTCCTGCTCAAGCCAAGAAGGGGGTGGGGTGGGCCAAGCCTCCCACCGGGGGCTCAGGTCAGGCAGTCCCCGAGTGCTGGGTGCCGTGGCTCTCAGGGAGGAGAGCTCTGTGCTCCTGGTGCCAGGGGTCTCACTGGCTGGGACCCTGGGCCACCCCTGAGCCACTCTGGGTCTCAGCCTCTCGGTCCCTGAGAGACAGAGTGACAGCCTCCCCAGCTGGCTGAGAGAGAAAGTGCTGGTAGGGCAGCTCCCAGATGAGGCTCCGACTCCCTGGGCGGCCAGCGGATCAGTAGGAAGCTGCTTCTGAGGCCCCTGGTGGGCGCAGGGCAGGGCAGAGCCCAGGGACCTGCCCCGGAGGCCGAGGGGCCGGGCGCGCTGGGGAGGCCGGCCACGGCCACAGTGCAGGCGGAGAGCGGGAGGCGGGAGGCAGCAGATTCCACTCCCAAGGAGGGCCATGCGGTCATCTGGTAATTAGTGGTAATGACCGTTTCTAACTAAATCCCCCTTGGGGAGGTAATCAAGGATTAGGGCGGGAGGCGGGGGAATTGCCGTGTGGACATCTCGGCTTGCTTCACTCCGGCAGAGCCCTAATTGGAAACATTTCAGTTTATCTGGGGGTGGGGGCTGGGGGAGAGGGTGGAGGAAAGGACAGGAGGGAACGCAGAGTTCACAGGGAAGGCTCGTGCCCAGGGCTCTGGGGGTGGCGAGCTTTCTCTCTCTCTCAGGAGTGGGGGGCTCTCCTGGGACTGGCTGGAGCAGAGACACTAGTTCAAGGTCTGGCTCAGCTGCTCCCTCACTGGAAGCAGGTCACTGCCTCTTGCCCTGCCTCAGTTTCCCCATCTATTCCCTCAATGTCCAGAACTAATGTAGGCTCCAATGACGAGGACATTTTAGGGTAACAGAAGCTGACAAATGACTTCACCTTCCCATCGCCAGAGCCACAGTCCTCCCTCTCCCTTCCACTGCACCAGGCCATCTTCACGCCTGGGTGGTCCCCCCCACACACCTTATGCCTCCAGGCAGGGCTTTCGTCATCTCCTGCCTGGTGCACTAAAGAGCCTCCTCCCTGCCTTCCTGCCCGGGGTATCATTGAGGTGTTTTCCTGGTGTTGCCAGGTGGCCCTACCCTCAGGCAGCTCAGGGTACCTGGCCCAGGTAAGGCCCGTTTCCAAGAAAAGTCTTCGTCCTGGACCTGTACTTCACAGCATCCATCTGCCTCTCGGCACGGGGTCAGGCACATGATGAACTCCGGGCCAGGACCCAGCAGCCAGGCGTGGGCTCCTGCACATGACCCGGGCCCCAGGTCCGGCTCTGCAGTTCTGCAGCCAGGCTGCTCACGGCACTGGGTGGTGCCACCAGCCCACTCGGTACCAGCTGAGCCTGGCAGAGCTGGGCTCGTAAGATCCCCTGCACCAGCACCACCCAGAATGTAGCCTGGCAGAGCACCCTTCCGCCAGGGGATGGAGGGGGTAAGGTCAAAAGTTGGAGGTGGGGTAGATGTCACATCCACAGCTACACTTCCAGGGCGGAGAGGACCCTGGTCAGCGCTGAGAGCTGGCTCAGGGGCCCACAAGGCTTGCCCTGGGAAGCCTTATAGTGCTGCCTGTCTGGACCCTAGGGTGGGAGAGCAGTAGAGTCTGAGTGGACCCTAATCCCCGAGCCAGACTTTTGTCCCACCCCTGCCCAGAGTCTTCTGGGGCTCTCCTGGGCCCCACATCATCCTGGTGCCCACGTGGCAGGGAGGATGGAGTAGGAACCTGGCCTCTAGACCACCCAGGCAAGCTCAGGCTCTCTCTGGGCTTCCATCTACCTCCCCAGGGCAGCCGTGGGGAACTCTCCTCAATCAGGCCCCAGGTCTAGGAACCAGGTCCCCTCAGAACTGCCCCTTCCTCACCAGCCACCCCAGGCTGGGGGCTGCAACTGCCAGCCCAAGAAGGGAACCCCTAGGGCCCTACGGTCCGAGAGGCCTCCTGTTCCCTCCTAGGCTTTGTCCCAGGACTCCAGAGCCAAGAGGGACCATCAAGTTCCCTTCCCCCATAGATGGGGAAACTGAGGCTGGTGAAGGGCCTGCCTAGAAGTGACACCAGGCCCCTTCACACCCAAGACTGCCCAGACCTCAGAGACAGAAGCCTGCCCACTTGGCCCACCCAATCCCATCCTGCAAAGTGAAGCCCTGACCAGCCTTGTCTGACACCTGCTCTCATTGTGCAAGTGGGGAAACTGAGGCCCAAAAGGGCAGGGCTTGCCTAGATCCGTACACAGCCAACCAGAGGCAGAACTGAGCTAGATCCCACATCCCAGGCTAGGGTTCCTTCCACCTGCATTTTGGAGCTGAGGAAACTGAGGCTCAGAGAGGCTAAAGCGATGGATCAGCCTGAGGCCTGGCCCATGGCTCATGAACTGGCAGCACTCAGGCTGGGACTCAGACTCCCAGTCCAGTGCTTTTCTGCCCCACTTGGCAGCAGCTGTGTCCCTTCTAGACTCTCAGGACTCTTCCTTGAGAGGCCCCACCTATGGTGAGCTGCGGGCTTGGCTGCCCAGGGAGGCGGCGGCCTTTATGGGCCCTCCCAGCCAGCCTGGGCCTTTCCTCTCACCCGGTAGCCCCTGCGCTTCGCAGTAGGCTGCGGCCACCCTTAGTCCCTTCCCTACCGGTCAGCCAGTAAGGGAGTGGGCAGCCCAGACCTGGGTTACCCCAACACTTGCTGGGTTGGGAGTCTCCCCGTACCTGGCTGGGGTGGAAGTAAGGTGGGAGAAGGGTCCCTGGGTTATTTCTGGGCAGGTGCTTGCAGGGACAGCCAGGCTCTGACCCCACTCCCCTGGTCCCCACCCCACTGGCTCAGCCTGATCTCCAGGCGCCCACCTGGTGGTCATTCCAGGTCCCTCAGCCACATCTGGTTTCATTCCTGTGTCAAGTGCCCCTTTCATCTCCAGGTCACTTTCCAAAGCCCAGGGCAGCAGGGGCCCCTGGGACAACCCCAGGACAGCTGGGCCTCCTGGATGAGCCCCCGCCTCCCACCCCCTCTGTACACTTCCCTGTTCCCAACTGTGCTATGGCTCCCTGTGACCAACAGGCCACAGAGACACATAGCCCAATTCAAATCCTGCCTCTACTACCCGCTAGCTGTGACACCCTGCTAGGCAAAGAATCCCCCGGCCTCCGTTGCCTCTTCTGAGTAATGGGGGAACGGCAGAAGCCACCTCGCCTACGGTGGTTGGGAGATTTAAATGAAATAATATACAAACACACTGATAATAGTGCCTAGCATGTACAAGGTCGTTCATGTGTGTGCATACGTGTGTGTGCATGTAGATACTTATATGTACATCCACATACATATGTACACATGGCCTGCTCACATGCTGTGTCTATATATACACACACATACACACGCACGCACACACACGCACACATCATTGTTCTTAAATCCCACCCCTTCTCCCACTTCCTCCTCTATCTCAAGCCCCAGCAAGAGTTTAACCATTATCTAGAGGTTTGGCCTCAAGGAGCCTGTCTGCCTGGGTTCCGAGCCCACAGCCACCATTGCCCAGCTGTGTGACCTTGGGGAAGCTGCCTAACCTCTCCATACCTCATTTTCCTCATTTGTAAAATGGTAGTAAGAACACTAGCTCGTCCCTCACAGGAGTTCGGAATTATCGAAATTAAAGGACCAGAGCTCTGAGAGCAGTGCCAGGCATATGGGAGGAGGCTCTTGCCATCCCGGTGTCTCCGAGTATGTCCACATGCACTGACCTGCCAGGACGCCCGCTCTGCACTGCACCTCCGCCCAGCAAAGTCCCACCTGTCCTTCCACGCCCAGCCCACGCACCTCCCTTAGGTGGCACTGACCACTCCTTCTCTGGGCTCCCATGTGCCTTCTCCGAGGACACAGACCATGGTCCACTCTGTATTTTCTATGTGTCCGTTTCTCCCAAGAGCCTGGGAGCTTCTTTAGGGCAGACGCTAAGTCGTGCCCATTTCTGTTGTGGCCTGGGCTCTGCAGTGGGGATGGAGGACACGGATGCTGCGCTGAGCCATCTACCCCACCACATGCCAGCCCGGGGTTGTGTGCATCTCGCCCTTCTCAGAGCCTCAGTATTGCCACTGTAGAGCAGGGATGATAGCTGTGTCCCCCACAATGCTCTTATGAGCAACAAATGTCACCCGAGCCTAGTTCTCAGCCTCTGATGCTCCTTGTGCCCTGTCCCCAGCTAATCCTCTTCCTTCTCTGGACCTTAGTCTTCTTATCTGTAAACCGGTGGTGGATGAGGGGCTTAGACTCACTGATCAGAGGCCCCTGCCGTCTGGGACGGTGCCAGGTACCCAGCAGCAGAAGGAAGGTGGTTGCTTTCTCATAAAACTCATCAAGGACAGCTGGGAAGAGCTGGGGCCCCAGGGCTGAGCAACCACTGAGCCCAGGCTTCTCCTTGCAAACAAGAAACGCAGGAAGATGGGGTGCCCTTCTAGAATCATCAATTAATCGATAACTCAGTCCCAGAAGGGGCAGGGCCAGTGACCTCCAGACTGTTTGTTGGCGGCCCAGCCACTATCACCTTGTCTTCCAGCTAATCCACAAACTCTCTTCAGGGCCCCTTCCCCGGCCCCCATAATCTGTCCCCTGCTGTCTTATCTGCCCGGCTCCCTGCCCCCACCCCAAACTCCAGACCTGTGTCCTGTCCTGGACTTTTCCACCCATATCTGGGCCTTTGCTCACGGAGTCCCCTCCACCCAAGTGCTCTCCTCCCCACTGCCCCCACCAACCAAACTCCCCACAGCTCTTCAGTCCCTAAGGCCACTGTCCCTGAAAAAGTTCCCAGTGTCCCAAGTCTGTGCACTCCCCCACCAGGTGGTCTGCCCTCCTCTGGGCCCCCATAAGGCTGCGCTGGTCTCTCCTAGGGCACTGGACACTTGTGGAGTTATTTACGGCCTGGGCTTATCTCTCCCAGCCCAGAGGGCAGCTCCTTCGGGAAGGGGCTGGCTTTTCCTCCTCTCCTGCCTGCCCACAGCCCGCACAGAGTAGGCACTCCCTACTGCTGGGCAGGGCGGCCTCTCCCTCCCACCTACCTCGCCATTAATAATTTCTGTCTACGGAATGCCCTGCACATGTGCACAGCACCTGACAGCTCAGGAGGCTCTTTCGTGGCCTCTTCTCATCTGACCCGAGTGGGCTGGAGAGTCACCCTCCTTTGACAGAGGAGGACGCTGAGGCGCCAAGAAGTAGAGTGACACTTCCCCAAGGTCACCCAGGTGGAGGGGTCAGGACTGTCTCTGTGGACCTCCAGCTAGGGTCAAGGAGACTGACAATCTTGAGCTGCCCCCGGTGCCAAGCCCCTTGGCCAAGATGTCTGTTTCCATCTGCCCCCGCGGAGGTCTCCCGCAACTCAGTGGCCTTTGCGCAACTGTCCGCTCAGGACGGGGCAAGTCCCTCGCCCTCCACGCCCTGTCTCGCTTCCTCTTTGCAAGCCTGAGGGAGGTAAGGACATTCTACAGGGGAGGAAATGGGGTCTTGAGAAAAATGATTTGCCCATGACTGCCAAGCCTAATTGGGCTCCTGGGTCTTGGCACGCTCGCCCCATCCGGGGGGCCCTTAACGCCCTCCGCGCAGCCCCAGCCCGTCCCCGTCCGCATGGACTCAGGGTCCCTACTTACAGCCACTTGATGCCATAGCACACGCCGGTCTGGAGAGCCAGGGCGAAGAGCAGCGCCTCGCAGACCTGCGGCCGCGCCCTCATCGTCGCGCGGCGGGCGCGCTCAGGGGTCGCGCCCGGGGGGAGCCGCGCCAAAGTCCAGCCGCCTGCACCGCCACCGCCGCTCGTCCTGCGCGCACGCCGCCTGCAGTCGGGGAGAGGCAGGCGGCGGGTTAAGGCTGCGCGCGGGGCGGGGGAGGCGTTTTATTCAAATTACAAAGGAGGGGTCGGGGCCGGGGAGGCCGAGCGCGGCGGGCGTCCCCTCCCACCCGGCCCGGGTTCGAGTTAGCTGCGGCGGATCCAGCAGAGGGCTTGTCCACTTAGTGCGGTCCCCGGCCCGGCCCGGCCGCGCCCTTGCGCCACTCAGGCTGGGACCCGGGCGGCCGGAAGGAAGGGCAGGAGGCGACAGAACCAGAGACCCTAGGAGAGACAGGACAGAGGGACAGCGAGAGGGAGAGACATGCCCAGAGGATGAGGCTGAAAACCACTGAGGCAGAGGACAGGCAGAGGGACGAAGGGGGAGGAACGAGGAGCCCGGGCGCAGGCGGCAGATTCCGAGGCCAGGAGCTGGGCTCTTATGCCCACAATATTATTAGTTATGATGGCCTTGGAATTCTCCTCCCCCACCGCGCCTCAGTTTACCTACTCTGTAAACTGGGGTGATTCGGGCACATTTCACCTTTTATAAAGAACGTTCACGTAACAAGGTCGCATTTGCTCCCCTCAGCAACCCTGTGAAATGGGTACCATCGCTGCCCCATCTCACAGGTAAGAAAACCGAGGCCCAGAGATGTGAAGTGGGGTGGTCAGCTGGGTAGCGGCAGGGCCGTGTCTGTGGAGATCAAAGCCCCCGAGAAGACAGGAAACTGGGCTTGCTCTGGGCATCGGTTTCTCGGTCTGGGAAGGGGAGGACGAGACACGGGATGGCAGGTCTCTTTGTGCAGTGAGAGCGCCTCTTCAGCCGCGGCATTTCGGAGGGCCGGGGCGCAGCCGGAGCCGGGGCGCAGACCGAGCCGGGGCGCCGCAGCCGGGCCTGGGCGAAGCGGGCCAGCTGGCGGGGCCGGCGCCGTGCTGCCTCCCGCCGCCAGGAGGCGCCCTCGGGCCGCGGAGGAGCCGTTCCCCGCCCGCCGGCGGCCGGCAGAGCTGCTTTCTCCGGCTTTTTCTTTTTTCTTTTTTCTCTTCATTCTCACCTCATTAACTCCCCTCCCAGCTTCTCCGAAATTTACCAACACCTGCGTTCGCGCGGAGTCACACGCAGTCCCAGCCCCTCTCCCCTCGGGAGCAGCACAAAGGGATTCCTTTCTAAAGGGTTCGGGCAGTTGGAAAAAGGAGGCGCCACCGCGGTGGGGGGCGCTGGAGCCGGAAAAGGGCGTCCTCCTCTGGCCCAGTGAGCTTGGGCAAGCCCTCGACCATACCCAGCCTCAGTTTCCCCTTCTGTAAAATCAAGGGGCGGGACGTCACGCATCCCTGCGGGCTTTCCAGCCTCCCGGCAGTCCGCGGGTCCCCGAGCGCGCGCCGCCGGGGTCCCCCCCAGCACGTACGCCTGTGTCTGTCGTGTGCGCCCGTCCGCGTGCGCCGCGACACACGCTGGAAACCCCACTGCGTCCTGCAGCCTTCCGGCGTAACTCTGAGGAAGGCACAGAGAAAATCCCTAACTGCATTTTTGTCCCGCTCCACGGAGTTCCTCCCGCTCGGCGCCCCGCACGTGGGGCGCCAGCGACAACGCGCCACGCCTAGGCTGGGGGTCGCAGCGGGGCTCTCGGTGCGACCAGCCTGTATCCAGACCCTTTGTCTTACTAGTCCTGAAGTTTGCTGCGCTTCTCACAAGAAAAATACCCGCCCGATATGGTGGGCTGGGGAGGATCCAAACTCTGGTAACTGTCTTCGCCCCCCCAAGCGTGGGCTCCCCCAGGCGCCCGGCATGCCTGCGAGGGGAGGACCCAGCGGCTGCGCGAGGGAGGAGGCGCGCGGACGCACCCGGGGATCCGTGTCCCGCCCAGCTCGCCCAGGGAGAGGAGGGGACGCCCGGGCCACCCAGCGGACCGGCACCCGGCCCGGCTACTCCGCGCTCTTTCGGAGCAGCCCGATGGACACAGGCTTCGCCCTCGGGCCCGCCGGCTCGTCGCTGGGGCAGGCAGCGCCTGGCCTGAGCCTCTGGGTCGCGACAGAGTATTCCTGTCCTGTGTGAGAGCGGCCGGGACAGCCGCGCGGGCCGCTGGGTCACCCTCCGCCTGCGCCGCGGGTCAGGGCGCCCGCGCCTCCCGAGCCCCCGGCCCGCCAGGGGGCGCTAAGCCGGGGTTCGAGTCGCGATCCGCCGCGGCCTCCGCGCAGCGTCCCGGGCGGGGTTCCCGTCTGCAGTCGGGCAGAGGTGCAGAGTGCCCTCTCTGTCCCGGTCGTTCTACAGGGCGTCCTCTTGCCGTGGTCAGGCCCGAACTGCCCGGCCCCTTGCTTCAGGCCCCGCGCGGAGCCTCCCTTGGGGGCCGGCGCGTCGTGGGCCCGCGTCAAAGCGCAATGTCTTTGGAGAGATAGCGGTCCCCTCTCCCCGCGCTGGGAAATAGGTCCCAGCCACCCCGCCTGCAGCGGGCCGCCCCGGGCTGTGCACAATCGGGGCGCCGGGAGCGCAGCAGCCCTGCGCCGCCAACAGGTAGTCCTAAGGTTTGGGCTGTGGAGGTCCCGGGAAGCCTCGCCTTTGGGTGGCCTCCCCTCTGAGCCAAGCCGGCGGGGACTTGCAAGGCTCCCCTACCCCGACGCTCCCGTACTAGGCCAGGAGTGGGCACTGCGCGCCAGGGCACAGTGTCCGGTCCCGAAGCCTCCTGCAGCGCCGCTCTCGGAGCGGACCCCGCGAGCCGGGACGCCGAGCGACTGCTTCAAGGTTACCTGCGAGGCGGAGCGAGGCCGGCCCGCAACCCGGCTTTGACCTCAGCCACCAGTCTTCCGAGATGCGTCTGCTCAGCTGCGGACGCTGCGCCAGGTCACCCGGGAGACCAATTGTTTTGGAAGTGAGAAGGGTGGGTGGGGGAACTCGGATCTCTCCCGCTACTCCCCTGGAGCCCGACTGCGCGCGCCCAAGGACCGCGAGGGACACGGAGGCACCTCGGGGTCGGGGTTAGGAGGCGTGGGGCTCGCGTGCGAGCTCAGTCAGATGTTCAGGGCGGTTCCAGATGTGCCGCGGGGCCGGGGACAAGACTCCTCTCCTCCCCACCCCCCAGCCTGGAGCTCAGGTCAGTAAACAAACTCGGTTCTCCCCCTTCCCCCGCCGCCGTGGGGAGCTGTTCTCAAAGCAGGGCGTCCGCCCCTCGCCTCCCGTTTTGGTAGAAGCTGTCGAATTTCTCTGCCTTTTGCCACCCTCTCCCGCCCCACCACGCACACACCCTCTGTCGCGGGATCCAAGTTCCCCACCCCCGGGATGGCTCGGGCATGACCTCATCCACGGGCCGACCGGGAGGGAGGGGGTCTACTGGGGAGTGGGGACAGGGCCTGGAAAGCTCAGGGAGGGCCGCAGGAGCTGCACAGCCCACCCCCACCCCGCGTCTCCCTAAAGCCCGAATAGCCCTAAAGCCGGCGTCCCCAGCCCCTACGGCTGCGCTCCGCAGGGGGCATTCCTCCCGGCGCTGGGGAGGAGAGCGAGGTATGGAGGAGGGCTTCGTTTGCTTACCCGGGAGTGGGTGCCCAAGGGGGTCGCGGCGGGTGCGAGAAGTGCCGTCCACCTTGGACTCGGGGACCCACGCCCTGGCAGGTCCCCGCGGAGCGTCTGCCCACTGCCCGCGACCACTGCTCACCTCTCGGGGCGCTCGCCCGCGCGCCCTGCGTGCCCGCTGCCCCGGCCGGCCCAGCAAGCGGCGAGCGCGGTTTCCCCCAGGCGGAGCGCACTCCGGCTGGGCGAGCGGCGAGGGCGCCCTCTTCGCGAAGCTGCGCCGCAAGAACGCCGGGGATCCTGGCCCGCGGCGGCCGGCTCTGGTCCCGCGCGGACTCGGGCTGCTCTGGGCTGCGCTCAGCTCCCGGGTCCTGCGCTCGCCGGTTCGCCGCAGCTCTACCCGTCGCCCGGCGCGATCTGCCGCGCCAGCCGCCCAAACTGCTTTATAAGGCGCGGGCGGCCGCTTTGATCCGCCCACGTCAGCGCGCCGAAACCCCACCGGGTGGCTCAGGCCGCACGCGGGAGGCGGGGGCGGGGTCCCTGCGGGCGCCACTGACCCGCTGCGCCCGGGCCCGCCGCTCCAGAGAACTTCGCAGCCTGTTGAGTTACAAACGGGGGACATGCTCCCTACAGCTGCTGTTTACTAAGCGTGCCTGCTGGGTGCCTCCTGCGTGCCTGTGGCGCGGGGCCCGGCTTAGGCCCACTCGAATGCGCGCCGCAGCCGGGCAGGCCACCTCAAGACTCGCCAGCGGGAAGTCCGGCGTGGTCTGTCTGGAGCCCCGGCGTCGCTAGGTGTTCCTCTCGCAGCTTTGTTACTGTCGGTGTCGCGAGTCCTGAGACTTGAGTTCATGTCCCAGTCCTGGTCCTTCGAGGGCCATCTCTGCAGGCTTCTCTTTCCAGTACTGGAAAAAGGATCAAGGACCCTGCCCTCTCAGCGGAGAAAGGAGGCGCGAGGACTCGGTGCTGCAGAGCGCGCTGTAAACCTTCGGCGCTGAGCCCGACCGACCAGCGTCCTAGCGGCTGGGCTGACTGTCGGGGAGTCTTCTGGACACGGGGCTCCGGAGGCCAAAGGGAACTAAAGAGGCACTTCCTACACAGTGTAGCCCAGGCTGGGACAGTGCTTCTGGGTCCGCTTTCCCACTTGCTTGGCCAGATCCACTGCCTGCACCGCCGCCGCCACCACTTTGATTTCAAACTGCCCATCAGGTGCTGCCTTTTCATCAGCTTCTGTCTCCCCCTCCTTCTAGGGGCCCCAATCCCACGTTAGTAGAAAGGGAAATGGAAACTTAATGATAAGAAGGGGCTTATCTTGGGTCCACCAAAATGCCTGATACGCTTTTCCCCATTTTTTGGCAGCTGCAAATAAAGTGGCACTCATAGGCTGCCCCACACCTGGCCACAGGTACCTCCACATAAAACACAAACGTCTGGGCCCACAATGCCCACAGCAGCCTCCTAGCTATACGAGTACTCCCACACATGGGGAGCCAGTCTCCCTGGCACACAGGGATGGGACATACCACCCCATAAATAGTTAAACATTCAAGGGATACTTGGATACATCATCTGCCCACACACTCAGTAGCACATGGGTGTGACATGGCTATACACATGTCATTAAGATGAGCCTGAACACACAGACTACCCCCAACCAGTCCCTGCACAAACACACATGTGCTTCCATGCACACAGTGAGAACGCACACACAGCTCCCAAGTGTGCAACGCTAAACATATACTCCTGCACGCAGTCACAGTAATATCCGTTTGAACACTCGCTGGGACACCCCCATCTTCTACCCCAGAGCACTGAGCCAATTCCATTATCAAAGCAGTGGGAAGACAGTAGGGCTTTGGGTGAGGCATTTAGGAAGGCGGGAGGGGCAAGCCCAGTCCACCTAAGAGTCTGGGGACAAAGCCTCCAGGGACTCAAGGGTATCCTTAGCTTCCCTGCCACAATTCACTCTGGCCACCACAGTCAGAGCCATTCCAGGTGGCATGTATCCGGTTGGGATGCACTCCCCTCTGCTCATTTGAGAAGCTCAGCCAGTTACCTCCAAATATTTGCATAAAAAGTCCTTCTGCCATTAATCCCCTTCTGACTCCCAGCTAGAGTAGAAACAGAAAGCAATTTGGAGTTACACAGACTTGGGTTCCAATGCAGATTTTGCCCAATTTCATTTTTAACTGTGATCTCGAGCAAGTTGCGTAGACTGCCCCAGACTTAGTTTTCTCACCCTTAAAATGGGAATAATACAATCCCATCAAATCCTCTACATTCTTCAAGATCAGGATTAGTATCCCCATTTCACAAATGTGGAAGCGGAGGCTCAAAAGGGAGCTGATACCCAGATCTCTGTGCCTCAGAGTCCACTGGTGGGCCCCAGTGAACAGAAGGAGTTCATGGGGAGTTGAGGAAAGCCAGGAGATCCTAGAACTCCTGAAGCCCAGCCCTGCCCGCTCCTGTCCTCTGCCAGCCACTTGGCTCTGTCCTGTGGGTCAAGACCCAGCCATCGGCTAGGGTTGGAAGCCTGCCCTGGGGTGGGAGTGCAGGCAGGGCTGTGAGGAAGTGGTGCCAAGAGCTTGCATTGGAAGTCACGGGAGTCCTGGGGCAAGGGTCTGCCCCTCCCTGTCCCCTGTCTCCCTGTTGTATAATAGGGAATACTCAAGGAGAATTTTTTTTTCCATCTTTGGAAACAACTGACCTTCCCCCTTCCCTTCCTTTCCTCCTTCCCTCTGTCCAGTCCTCCTCAAAGGCCTCTGTGTGTCAGGCCTGTGCTGGCCACCTGGGCTGCAGGCTTCTCTTCAGGCTCCAAGCAGGGCAGGGTGGGCCGGCTCTTGGCTGCTGCTCCTGTGGATGTGAATGTATTTCCCTTCTCCTCAGTCACCCCAGTGAATCTGGTTATCTGATCACCCAGATGTACTGGGGGCTTCCTATCAGGCACACACCTTCCCACCCTCACCCCTGCACACACCCTGCTCAGGGAAGCACCCGGCTGAAGGGACATGAGGGTAAGGGCAGCCACAGTTCTGTTCGTCACACTGACCTCTATTGACCCTTCCACCCACCTCAGCTTCCTTCCCTTGGGGCTGAAGCCTTGGTGGAGATGGTGGGGCCAATTGGCTGTTTCCAGGGACCCTGGATCAGAGGCCAGGAGAACTGGTTGCAGTCCTGGACTGTATCGCTAGTTTTCTGTGTGACAGCAGGTAGTTATTTTGCTCTCTCTGAGCCCCAGTTGCCAGTCTGTAAGTGAGGGGGTTGGACTAGACATCCCCCAAGGGCTTCCAGCTCTAGACCCCAGGTCTTGGGCCCCCTGACTCTCACCTGTGCCACAGGATGAGCCATGAATGTGAAGGAAGGAAGCCCACAGATACTCCCCGGACCCCAGGCCACCTGGCAGGTGCTGGATTCCCAGAACTACTTTTTGAGATTCCCCCCGTCCTGGCCCTGAACAAACCTGGGGGGAGGGCAGGACAGGGGCCCTCACATTTCCCAAGTGGATGCAGAGACCAAAGCATGCTGTTTCCAGCACTGGGCGCTTTCAGAAAGGCCTTCCTGGGAGGCACAAGGAACAGGGGCTCCGAGCAGAGTAGCCCAGCTCCGCTGTCTCCTGCCCGGGGCTTGGCATGTCCCAAGAGGGCAGATCTTCCAGGCAGGGCAGGGACAGGGACCAAATAGCAGCAGGCCTGTCATCAGAGCACCTGGGCCTGGCTCTCAGATTCCCCTCCTCCACCCACCCACTGAGGGAAGCCACTTAGCCTCTGTGGTCCTTGGTTTCATCATCTGCAAAATGGGAAAACCACTGCAGCACTCCTCCAGGTTACTGGGAGGTAACATTACAGGAAAGAGGGGATCCTGGTTGAGTGAGCACCTACTGTGTGCGGAGTGGTTTCTGTACCTGTGAGTGGGACGGGCCTTGCTCTGCAGGTGAACACACCGGGGCCCAGGTGTCGGGTGACTTAGGCAAGATGTCTCAGTGAGTGAGTGGGAGCCTCTGCCCACTGCCCATGAGGGGGCATGTTCTCCTCCTCCTCAGCTACCTCAGCGGAGGTATTGTTATTTTACAGAGCTCAGGGAGCAGGCCTGGGGGGCCAGGGCCAGTCCGGTTTCTTTCCTGGTTGCACATAACAGAATGCTACCTGTCACGTCTACTGAGGGCGTCACTGCTGAAAGGCTGCTTTCAGCTCTCGGTTGTTTAATCGTGGTGGTGGCTGCTCAGGAGACAATGTTTATGTTTCTCAGGCCTCTCTCAGCTCCAGGAGAGAAACCCAAGCGCAGGTAGCTTAAATACCAGGGAAACCGACTGGCTCACGCAGCTGCAGGAGGAATTGGGCTGGCTGGTGACCTAAGAGCTGCCCTCACCAGAGCCTGGGGCTGGCGCTGGGGCTCGGGGCCCTGGGCTGATGTGCAGTCAGAAACTCATTTCTGCTTCTCGCTGCTCTTTTTGAGCTCATCTGAGCCTCATTGCTCCCCCGAGATGAGGCCGCCAGCAGCCCTAGTAAGGAATTCCAGTCAAATGAGACCTCCATCCCCTTGGGCCTCTGTACCAGTCCCAGGGAAGGCAGCTATTGGCCCTGCTTGAGTCACCTGCCCTCCCTTTGACCGACAGCTGCTCTTGCCATGGGAGGGGGCTCTAGGAATGGCCAGCGGGCAGTGCCTGTCACCTGAAGAGGAAAAGGAGGAAGCAGTGGGCCACTGGGGTGTTTGTGCCTGGGTGGCAGTTCCTTCTGCGGTTGGGCTCCCACTTCCCTGACATGAGGACAGGTAAGTGTCTCTGCACCTGGGGGAGGAAGAGAGACATTGTCCAAGTTTTACACATGCACAGGGCCAGAGACCCACCATGCCCAGTGCTCCATTGCACACATAGAGAAACTGAGGCTGGGAGAAGGGAATAATTTGTCGCACATCACTCAGTAAATGGTGCAGGAGACAGAGAAGTCAGGTCTTCTGACGCCTACCTAGCCCATAAGCCTTGCAGTCATCTGTCACTGGTTCTGAAACCTTTCTGGAAAGGCCAGTGAGGCAGCATTTTAGAGGCACTGATTCCTCTCATCCCAGGACACACAGATCCTTTGGAATGTGACTG